CCTCCCATGGCTAACCATTGACTTCCAATTCTGCTCCTGTCGGAACGGGGTTACACCAGGTATCTTGGACATATAAAACATGAACTGGGGACTCTAAAGAGGATTCTTAGGGTTTTACAGGCACCTTCTTTTCCCAGCACTGGTTCAGTGACTTGAGGAGCATGTATCGTGGCCAACGCAGCTGGGGCTCTTTTCTTGTGTAAGTGACGCTGCTTTTCTTCATTTCCTGCTGTTAGTTTTCTTGATGTCTGCTGGTGATGTTTACTGGTTTCTATCTCCTTCACCGGTTAGTGGATTAAAATCACCACTCTACCAAGTCTACACGGGAAGCACCATCTAATTCCTTTCAGATGATGTTCAGGGGTGAAAATTACTGAAGAAACCAGTCACGCTCTCACACATCTTATGTGTGAACCCCAGTCTTTAATGGCCGTGGCCCCTGGGAAGTAGAACTGAGGAAACTAGGTGCAAATGAAAACGGAGAGGTGAAAATTCCAGATATTTTCAACTTCCAGCTTGAGAATAGACTGGAAAGAGATCAATTTGTGTATCAGAAAGCATATTTGTGCTTCATTTTAATTAAGGTTTCCATCTTGCCCCCTACCCTACCCTCCACTTGATGACTGTAAGTGACCACAAATGAGGTTTTGACTGGCAAACGCAGCCTGCAGCTTCGACACTCCTTTTTTTTTTTTCTTCTAAGCATTTCTTTTCCTTTCCACAGCACGGCTTGTTGTGCAAATACTCAAAGAGCAGATCGTGTTAAAGCAGCCCTTCCTCTCCGAGTATGTCACCTAAACAGGTACACTTACACACGCCACTCACAAATAAAAATGCACACTCTGAAAACATCATGCCCTTTGGAATCGGGGGAGAAATTATGGAATGAACAGCGCCATGTTTACCATCCGTGAAGGCGTTCTTTGGTTACACCCGAGTTGATTTTCTCACACCTATGAGGTAAGTGCTCACCACAGCTAAAACAGGTTTCCAACTGTGACTGAGTGCTGCTGTGCACTCAGGGTGAGGTGGAAGGAGAAAAGACTACGGCTTCTGATAGAGATGCCCTGTAGATTTTTATTTTGTCCTCAGACTAGGATGAACCACTGGGAGCAGGTGGTATCCATTCTGCCCTATGTGATACTTTGCTTGATGCACCTGACACATTCAGGATGAATTATAGACTTACAGACTTCCAAAATATTCCTTCGCTAGACATGGGCAGGACAGCCTAGAGCAGTACAAAATGCCTGCACACTGTCCAGTTTGACAAAATATATCAAACACTTCCTTAAAAGGTCATTTCAATGAGACTGAATTCCAGCGATTCAGAAGCTGTAAGACAGCGATATAGAGAGGAAATAAAGATGAATTTAAAAGTACCAAAACTGTGCCTCACCAGGAAGGAGGAGCCTTTCCAAAGCCCCACCTATCCACCCAAATCATCACAGCCTGCCCTAGTCACTGGGAACTTTGTGTCTAGGGAGAGACATTTGTTATATTTCCTCCATCAGTTTTTCGCTTGCAAAACTGGAGTGTTCATGTTGGGCCTGAAAGTGGTTTTTAAAGAGAAGGCAGAGTCAACCTCTGTCTACAAATCCTCCGAGGAACATAGGAGTGGACGGAAGAGTTTCTCCAGACACTGGCATCTCTACCCATGGCCCCACAGAAACGTCTGAGACCATTTCCCTTCTTGTTAACAAAGGGTGATGCAGATGGTCTCGGCTCCATTTTTCCAAGTGCCTCGGCAACCGGCAACCGTTGTCTCTCACTTTGTTTCACTGGAGCCCAGGGTCGTTAGAACCCCCAGTGTCCAGTACCAGTACTGCTGGGGTTGGCGAGCAGGAGCTGTTTAACTGCTGAAGATAATCACTTAACATTTGCGGCTGGGATGCGGAAGGATGAATTTGGAGTGGCTCCTTGGTGAGTTCAGAGTTCACTTAGGGTTGGAGATTTCTGAAAGAAATGTTCAAAAATTAGCCTACTTTGTTATATAGCAAAAATATAAATCCTGCCTATTGAAGGGAGGGGGTGCGAGTACACACAAGGCCCTTGAGAAGAGATCTATGGGGAAAGGGGGCGGTGCTCCAGACAGGACCAGGCTCATAACAGAAGGAAGGGCAGGCTCCCAGAAGGACAGAGGTGATGCTACATTTCCTTTCAACAGGACCTAGAAAACCATTGGGCAGTTTTAGGCAGGGATCCTGAAAGGGAGCAGTTCAGATATTTGTCCATGGTTCTGTGCTGACCAAATGCAAAAATTCCAGAAGTATTTGGACACTTTAGTTTCTGGTCTGGTTGGTGTGAGTCACTTCCTCATTGCTGCATCAAAATGCCCAGTTAATGCAACTTAAAGAAGAAAGGGTTTATTCTGGTTCATTCTAGGGCAGTCCCTTGTGGCCAAAAAGCTATGGAGGCAGGAGCGTCGTGTAGCTAGTCACACCGTGACTATAGTCAGAAGGTAGAGGGGGTGAACGCTGGTGTTGTCTGCATTCTCCTTTCTTCAGAACAGGACTCAGCATGAGGAATGGCATTCCCTGTGCAAGGTGGGTATTCCCACCTTAATTAATCTAGATCCCTTATAGACATGGGCATGGTGTGAAGGGAGGTGTGGGTGGGTCTCGGAGGGGGTCACAGAGGAAGGCTAGGGAAGGACATGATGCTGGTCTCTGAGCTAAGTTTAGAGTCCATCAAGTTGACAGAATGAGCCATCACGCAATTGGACATCACTTTGCACTGCCTTCCTTTCCATCTGCTCAATTCTCACTCTCCTGAAACTGCAGCCTCTAATGGGGCACTAGCATGTGGGGAGCTGAGCTACTTTTCTAGAGAATTTGGGGTAACACAGAATGCAAAAAATTGTAGACTTGAAATTAGCAATTAAGGCAGAAAACCAGAAAAGCGATGCTCCATTTAGGAGAGTGAGGAGTCCATAATAGATTGGTCGGAACAATCCTGGGCTCTGCAGCCATCCTGAAGCTGGGCTGACGAGTATAGGGGACAAGAGTAGAGTGGCTATGGAATCCTGACTCCCATCGGTCCCCTTCTGCAGCAAGTGGTCACCAGTAGACAACTTTAAGGACCCTCTCATGGACCTACGTGCCCATACGCCAGACAGTAGGGGTGTCTCACACTCAAGGGGAGAAATTATTCACAGTATAACGTGTATCAGTAGGCAATCAGTCATCTGTTGTCTCCATTAATATGGAGAGAATTGGTGTTGCAGACTATTGTGACCAGCAGCGATGCTCTGAACAGCACTCTGGAGTCTGGGCTTTGTATGTTCTCTAGGGAGAGCATCTCTCAAAGGCACAGAGCACATTCCTTAATCCTCACCACGGTCCAGGGAAGCAGATATCACTGCCACCTTCACAACATGTATCAGGTATTTGTAGGTGTGTGAGGTTTCATAGACTCAGGATTTGACCTCTTTTATGAAAGCCCCAGCTATGTTTTTCGAGACAGCCCACAAGGACTGCAGTTCCCTAGAGATCTGAACCAGGTCTGGTTGACTCATGGCTTGACTTCAGCAATGAATCAAGACACAAGGAGATGTTCCAAAGACAGAGGAGAAATTGCACCCTCTAAATTCATGCCAGGTAAGGCAATCGGTGTTTGGATCGCAGGCCCATAATTATGTAGATTCACATATACATCTCTTTCAGATATGCATAAACTGGGGGAGTGTGTAGCATGTTGTGGAACTAAATGTATTTGTATGTGTTCAACATACTGTATAATTGACTCAATTATCCACGTGGGGATTATTCACTTTTAATTTGCAATCTGGCTTCTCTCAGCTACAGTGTTGTTGGGCTGCTCCAGGAATGCCAACCAATTTAAATAATAATTTAAGTGAAACATAATTAGAAGGAAAATTAAATTCGTTCTTTTGCCAGATCTTGCCAACAGTCTACTATGGAAATGTAACTCCACCTCATGTGCTGTGCCTTTCACCCTCACAGGATCTGATTGCTGTGATTACCACAGTCACTTCCTGGATAGTTTTCCCTTTATCTCTTCCAATCAGACCATCATTCTGACCGTAATCTTAAAAACAAACAAACCCTCAAACCCCTAACATTTAATGGCTACCCATTTTTCTACAGAGAAGTGCACAGGCCAAAGCCCCCCCCCCCCCCGCCCCCACCACCAAAGCTGCTTTTAGCTCTACTTCCAGACTGTCTCTGACAGGCCAGTCAGATCATTCTATTCCTCAGTCTTTGCTCACTCTGTGTTCTGCTGGAACACCCTTCCTCACCTCTGCAGGTTCAGGAAGCTTTTCTTATTTTTCAGCCCTACTCTGTTACCCAACCCTTTAACCCACTCCTATTTTTTCTAAGGCAAATAAAGGTTTTACTGAAAATGTAGTGTCTCCTTACTCTCTTGTGAGAAACTTAACTATGCACTTCGCGGTGATCTATCTTCTGTGCTGTGCTAGGCTGGGCCCCAAAGACAGTCCCAACAAATACTTGTCCATCTTAACTGCTGATAAAACTTATTTTGTCTGTTTGAATCTCCAGTGCCTACCTCAATGCTAGGTACTCAAGGAATCTATGGTAGGAGAAATTGAACCAACACGTCCAAGGCTAGAGCTGTGTCCTGCAGAGGACTCTGGGGATGAAGGCACAAGAGGGTCAATAGCATAGAGTTGGTAGCATAACTACTCCTGACAGGGGATGCTCCTTGGCCCATTTCTCTATCCGTAGACGCCTCAAAGCTTGCTTAAGTCCTCCACTAAATCTGAAAAAAAAAAAAAGGGAAATGCTACATATACTACGTCTGTGTATGCACAGTCATGTATACACGTGCATAAAATGCACACACAAACACATATGCCTAGTCAGGGATGCAGATATATAAATAAATATAAATATACATGTACAGCCAGGATTCCGAAACGATCAGAATGATAGAAATGACCATGATCTTCCTCTTCCTTTCGGGACCACACACAAGCCTCCTGAAGTCTTGCTCGCCGCGGCTCTTTAGCGCAAATTCCCGGGCGGCACGACTTGGCCCTTCCGGGCTTCCGTCAGGCTGGCCGTCATTGGCTGGATTGTGCACAGCTGACAGTCGCGCGGGCGAGGAAGCTTTGAGGATGGCGGCGTCCGCGGCGGTGATTTTGCCGGAGAGTCCCAGGTAGCGGTCAGGCTGAGTGCCCCGCCATGCGGGGGTAACCTGTTGGGGCGGAAGCAGGGGGTGTAGCCGCTGCCTGCTGCTGCGGTGCGGTCGACCAGGGTCGGGAGCCGGAGCCGGAGCCGGAGCCGGAGCCGGAGCGGAGCTGCGGATAGGGGCGCGGAAGAGGGCGTGGGCTGGCCGTAGAGGAGAGGGTGGGCGGGGCATAGATAGTGGGCGGGGCGTGGAAGAGGGCGTGAGCGGGCGGGGAAGCAGCATGTTTCCGTTCTGGAGTGGTTCTTGCTCCAAGTTTGCAGGGAGCCTTGGCAGCCTTGTTCTGTACCGGAGAGACTGACGGGTAGTAGAAGTCACTAAATGCTCCCTGAATTTTGTCTAGTTTCTTGGGAGAATAGTCTGTATTTTTAATGTTATTTCAGACCCGATAATGGTGACAAAGGCACACGCTGGTGCTGCGGGGTGATTAATAACTCGTGTTAATAGCTCCTTGAAACTAAGGTCAGATAGCTCAAGCATTAGTGACATATTTAGCTAGTCTTGGCACCATTACTAGTGTTTTCATTTTATGTAGTTTTTAGGTTTCTCGGTGTGTTACCTGAGACTGGCTGGCTCTGGTGGTGTTGCAAACCCCAGTTTAAAAGATTTTCTTTGGCGGAGTGATTCTTACTATGTTGCCAAGACTGGCCTCAAACTCGTAGACCCAAGATCCACGCAGTCTCCCCTCCCAATAAGCTGGCACTATTTAGCCACCCCACCATACCCTGCTCAGATTTCCCCCATTAAAACAGAATTATTTCCACCAAACCCGACTCACTTTGTGGAGGCAGAAGAAACACTCACTTATGCAGGCAAATACTGAAGGGTGAACACAACACTCCCGCATTGGGAAGAAGACAGTCGGTGTTGTAAAGTTTTTCCTTCTGTGAGCGGATTTGACAAGCCGCTTTTCTTCAAACTCCTGTCCTGGGGGAACACACGCTGTGAAGGCATAGTCAGTGTGTGCCCAGTTGCGCTTACCACACAATTTGAAATTGGTTATTACAGGTGACACAGGTTTTAAAGTAGCTGCACGCTAAGTGATTTTGTGTGTGTTTTTTTCCCTCTTTCTCCACCGTTTTGTGCCATCATTATCCTTTATGGTTTTGGTGTAATCCCCTAATTTGCTTCGTCCTTTTTCACAGTCCTTTCAGAGTTTATTTTGGATTAAGGGATAGCATTCCTTCCCATTGCTCAATACCTTCCCAAGCAATTTGCCTGGGAAGAGAAAATTGTCAAATGTACTTTTCAACAGGAATGCTTTTCAGGAGAGGGATCTTTTTGGAAATACTTGGATTGATTACCAAGTAATCAATGGAATCATGGCTGTCATTCATGTCACTTTATTTCACTAAGAGGACGCAGCTACCAGAGTTGTTGACATAAAAATGTATAGACAGCAATGGCAAAGACATTTAAAAGCTTACCTTGAAACTTTGTTTGCAAATTTGTTTAGCATGAAGAAAGCGGTGCCGCTGATAAATGCAATAGATACCGGAAGATTCCCACGCCTTCTTAGCCGAATTCTTCAAAAGCTCCACCTGAAGGTTTGCATTTTGGTATTCCTGTGACTTATGACCCCTCTGGTGCCCCTGAAGCATGCCGCTATTATTTGGAGAACTGTGAGAAACATTGTTCTCTAGTGTGTTCTCAGGAACTCTAGATCTGTGGAAGATTTGATAATGTTCTCTGGTCAAAAGTTTGGTAAACTTTGTATTCCATAATTAACTTTAAAAAAGTGGAGCCTTCCAAGGTATTTTGCATACTGTTGTTTGGGTCATATATTTAAAAGCGAAGGTTTGACTTTGGAATTGTTTTATCTTGTATATAATGTTCTATGGAACTCGCTTTAGGAAAAGGCTAATGGCATTCTTCCTGGTTAAGATGGTTAGCCCAGGGCTGGAGAGATGGCTCAGTGGTCAAGAGCATGCACCGTTCTTGCAGAGGACTTGTGTTTGGTCCCTAGTACCCATTTAGTGGCTCATAACTACCTGTAACTCCACTTCCAGGGATTTGATGCCTTCTTCTGGTTTTCTTGGGCTCCTGCATGCATATGGTGCATATATAAAGTCATGCAGGTACCATGCGTACATATACAAATAATAAATCTTAAAAATAATTCAGTCAATGTGTCTTCACCATGCATACATATACAAATAATCAATAAATCTTAAAAATAATTCAGTCAATATTTCTTCTAACTGTAGGTGGAGTTTTTGTCAGGACTGTCAGGCTGCCCTGTCCCCCAAATAACCACAAAGACACTTAATATTAATTATAAATATTTGGCTGATAGCTCCAGCTGGTTACTAGCTAACTCTTACATTTTAAATTAACTCATATCTCTTATCTATCCTATGCCACGTGGCTGCACCTTCTTTCAACATGGCATGTTCATCTTGCTTCTCTCTGCATCTCTCAAGACTCTTCAGACTCTGCCCTTCTTTTTTCCAGCGTTCTCTCTGTCCCAAAAATCCCGCCTAGCCACTGGTCAATCAATCTTTTATTAACAATGAGAGCAACACATTTTTACAGTATACAGAAAGATTATTCCACAGCATCTTACACAGTATTTAATCTTTGATTTTTCTCTTTGCTTTTCTTTCAAGGGAACGGTTGGTTTGGCCATGTGGATACTTGGTAACCAGTTTAACTTATGTTCTTTATTGGGCTATAAAATTGCCTTGGCCATGTTTGTGGAGCACCTGCTACACGCTCTGCATGATTGTAGGCACCGACATTCAGTTACATCAAGACTCTTACCTTTATTTTCTTTATTGGCCAGGAGACAACCCCAGGCCCATAGCCTACTCACTCTGAATTGTTCTCAAATCAAATTCTCCACTTAGTTTTATTTCAGATCCTTATTGTTTCCTGGCTTTGGACTAGTAGCTGTTACTCATAATGTTCTTGATTTTGATCTTTTATTTTTTTACATTTTTGCATTTCTATTATTTTAGTGTTTATGAGTGTTTTTCTGCATGTATGTATATGTACCACACATGTTTTTAGTGCCATGGAGGCCAGAGAGGGCCTTGGATCCTCTGGAGCTAGAGGTGGTTGTGAACTGCCTTCTGTGGGTGCTGGGAGCTGAACACGGGTCCTCTGCAAGAGCAGCATGCACTCTTATCCACTGAGCCATTGTTCTAGCTCCTGATTGATTACAAATAATACCACTCCAGTAATTTTTCTAAATGTTTCCCTGTTTTAAAAATGTTGATCATATTTAATAGCATTTAAAAAATGGCTGTCCATTATCATATGGAGAAAACTACAAAACCCTCAACACTGCGTGTGAGATCCATTAGCATATGGTGGTGGCCTGTGCTCTCCCTGGTTTGCACTAGCAATCACACTGGACAGTGCACAGTCCCCGCAGTGTTCTAGGGCCTTTCAACCGTGTATTGAATACACATCCCTCTCCCTACTTCCCTGCGTCACCGAGAGAACATCACCCTTTAAGAATTTTGCAAACCTCACTCTCAAGCATGATGCTTTTCTCTTCTCTCTGCTTCCAGAATGCTCGGTTGATTCTCAGTTCACTGTAGTTCTGTGTTGCAAGCACTCGTTTCTCAGAAGACACCCAAATCCCTAAACTTCTTCACCAGTCTTTCTCCCTATAGCCTCTAGACTCTTTTCTTTCCTTACCTATATAGTTCCCTTCCCCAATACATTACTCATTACACAGTTGGCACTCAGTGTATTTGGAGTTAATTCTTTTCTTTCTCATGAGAAATGGAACACTAGCCTAGGAGCTCTAAGTTCACGCCTGTAGTAAATTTGTGCTGTAGGTGGTGGGACTGGCGGAATCACAGTCTGTAGTGTGCCTCATCTTGCACGCCAGCACTTCTGCATTGGGAAGAGCTGAGGGAAGTCACACAAGCTTCTGTAGCTGAGAACTTAGAAACAGGCATTTGTGGCTTGTCATCCTTATTAGTGGTTACCACTTATCCAATGAGAAACCCTCCCTGTTAGACCCCGTGGCAGAGAATTTAGGTCCCCACTTGAAACCTGTTGATGTCACTGCTGTGGGCTTCGCTCTGTGGGGCCAGCTGTCAGGCTTTCTGACCAGGCACACTAGAAACATCCAGACTAGTGAAGGTGAAGTGGGGGACCGAGGTGCTGCTATGCTGGGGGGGCAGCAGTCTCGAGTAGTGACTGCTAGTGAGGAGATGAAGTGAGAGAATTAAGAAAACCAGATATCAGAGACAAAGCGCAGGTGTCTGGGTGGCCTAACATAAGCAGAGAAGCCATCCTTTGTTTCATTCCACTCGCTGTGGTTCAGAACGCGTGTCTTAATTTAGATTATAAGCACGCCAGCTTGCTTTCGCCGTGGACTTACCTTTCCTCTTAGGTTCCCTTTTGCTGTATAAGTGAGTCTTGTGAATGCACTCTGGGCTGACGGCTTCTGTGTTTGTAGGCCGAGAGCAGCTTCAGCGAAGAGGAGGAGGAGAAGCTTCAGGCTGCGTTCTCTCTAGAGAAACAAGAACTGCACCTGGTTCTGGAAACAATAGCGTTTGTTTTGGAGCAGGTATTTTTATTGCCTTAATTTCTTACTTATTGCGTATTTTCATGACTTTAATATCTGTGGCCTTCTCTATTTTTATGTAGCTATGTAAGATGGAAGCTCTCAGGATGTTCTAATCGAGACTTTCAGGATACTGAAACATTTTTGAATGCATGGCTTCTTTCCGTAGTATTTCATTCTGCAAAAGTAAATATGATATAGTAGTAGTAAATGTTATAGCAATGTGAATTGGGCCTTCATCTGATTTTAATTCATTGTTTCTTGGTATAGTTGGAAATATGAATACTTTTCATTGTAGAAGTTGAACAGGTGATTTGGTGGCATGCACCTGATTAGGAGGATATAGGAAAGAAGTGACGCTGTGTTTTGTTTTGTTTTTTTAACTGCTGAATTTCCTTTCTGTACCTTTTCTTCTCAAGCTTATTTCATTATTTTCCTTCCTGTTCAAGTCCTGTCACTACAGTCTGGATCGCATAGTCTGGTTACCATCCTTTGTTTGTGTTTCTTTGCCCCTTCCAGCAGGGCACACTGTTAGTCTTCCGTGACTTCACACACGTCAGTTTGGATTCTGTCCACAGATTTAAATATATTATGGGCCAGAATCTTATTTTCTGCACCTCTTCTGTAAGCCTAGGACACAGCTGAACTTAAAATAGAGTTTAATAAGTTCCTATCAGTTTATTAGATAGGAGATTTGTGAAATAAAAGATCCAGCAGTACTGCACTTGATGGGCATTGTTGGCAGCAGACACTCTTGGGACATGCTGTCAGGCAGCTGGCGCCACCCGAAGGAGGTGATAGATGATATATTGTCAGGGCATATACATGAGGAAACAACTTTAGTACTTAGGGTGTATCTTGACTTACAGTTCGATCCAGTGAGGAGGGAGAGGATGTGGTGACGTATACATGGACATTCCTGTCCCTGGCGTTAGGAAGGTAAGGCTTAGTACTCGTAGTTTCTGAAGATCAGGAAGTGTGGAGCCTGCCCTGCCTCTGGAGCTGGGCTTGAACTCATATGGCCTGCTCTCCAGTGGCACAGTAAGGGCCCCCGTCCTAAAGGTTCACAGTCTCCCAAAACAGACACCAGCTAGCCACCCAGCCTTTAAATACACCAGCCTGTGGGGAAGCCTTCGGGGAAGCCTTCAGACTGAAACTGTAACGGTCCATCCTTTGCCTCTACATGCTCATCACATCTCCTACTGAAGTAAGAATTAAGTCCACATTCAAACACCCCTGTAGCGGGTTCGAAAGAAAATGGCCCCAAAGGGAGTGGCACTATTAGGAGGTGTGGCCTTGTCGAAGTAGGTGTGATCTTGTTGGAGGAAGTACGTCACTGTGGAGGCGGGCTTTGAGAGCTCATATATGCTCAGGGCATGCCCAGTGAGACAGTTTGTCTCACTGTTTGTTGACAAACAAAAAATTCCTGTTTGTTGTAGAATATTGTTTTAAGGTGTGTTACTTTTGTTTATGCTCTGAAACATTTGTTTAATGATGCAAAGATGTGTTTGATTAAATAAAATTCATCTGCAGTCAGGAGGCTGCGTCACAAGTAGCTGACTGGAAGTTGTAGGGAGGAGTCAGGTGGAGAAGAGTTTTAAGTAGGAGTGAGAAGAAGAATGAGGGCTTCCTGAGAGACTGAGGAGGTGAGCTGCTTGCTATTCAGCCTCTGTGAGGCACAGAATTCCACCTCAACCTTTGACTCTTGATTTCTGTAGAGGGACAGAGATTTAGATAAATTCCCTTTGTAGCTTTGAAAGAGTCGGTGCCTGAGGGAATTCTGTTCCCTCAGGCTGCAGCTTTTGCAGCAGAACTGCTGGTAGCTGTGGAGTTGCAGTAGCTGATAGGACAGCTGTCACTTAAAAGGCAGCAGCAGTGTAAAGAAAAGGACAACACCTGTTGCCTTTGGCTCAAGGTGAGAATTCTCCAGCATCTGTCTACTTGCATGCTGCCGTACTCCCAGCTGCCATGCTCCCTGCCATGGAGATAGTGAACTAAACCTCTGAAACTGTAAGCCACCGCCTCAGTTAAATGTTTTCCTTTGTAAGAGTTGCTGTGGTCATGGCATTTCTTCACAGCAATAGAAACCCTAACTAAGACAATCCCCATAGGCTTAAGTTAAAGCTCTTTAAAGGTCCAAAGATCAAAGTCCGTTCTGAAACTCAGAGCAGGCTCTTAGCTCTGAGAACTTGTTAAACAAGCACCAAGTTACGTATTTTTAATGTTCAATAATACAGGGTAATGATTACTATTTTAAAGAGGAGGAATGGAAAGTCTGGACCCAAGCAAGACTGGCACACATCAGGGAAACACCAAGCTCTGCAGTTCCATGTCTAGTGTCTGGAGCTTACAGTGGCATCATTTGGGTTCCAGTGGACTTGGGCAGCCCCATATCCACACCTCTGCTTCCTGTGGCACATATGGGCCTCTATCCTGCCCCAGCTTCACTTGGCACCTGCTTTCCTCCATGGATGCCACCTCGGGTTCATTGTCAACATCATGGACAGCCTATTCAGGCCCTCCATACAGGGAATCTCAGCCCGCGACACCTTGTCTGACCTCATTGGTTTTCTGGAACCTCTGCAGATGTCCACAGTGGTGTAACTCCTGCATTCTGCATACCCGCAGAGCAGTACCGTGTGGGGGCTGCTGCCAGTTTCTGCCACAAGGTCTGAGATGTAGCTTAGCGTCCATTTACCATAGCTGCAGCATCTTTTGTGCGGGAGAACGCTCCCCCAGGCAACCGTGTTCCAGCTGTGTGTTCTGGAGCTGTCTCTGTTTAGGCACTGTGCAGTTTTCAGTTTTATGACCTAGAGCCTTCAGTGGGCGACATCTTGTTCCCAGGGCATCTTTCCTGTCGTCCCATGCAAAGTGTACAGTACCAGGGTTCTCCTTAATCTCATTAGTCTTTAGCAATCAGAGCCACTGTGTCTGCATCCACCGTACCTGTCCTGTCCTTAATTCTGGTTGTGTTCCAGCTTCTTTTTTTCATGTTCTCTCTCTACTTTTTCTTATAAAACCTGGCTAAGGGCAGTGAGCAGTAACCGTGTCACAGACTGTATACTGCCTTGAAATTTCCTTCACCAAACATATTAATCAATTATTCTTATTTTACTTTCTGTTTATGGGTGCTTTGTCTGCATATATGTCTGTGCACCATGTGCATGTCTCGTGCCCTCAGAGGCCAGGAAAGGGTGTGAAACTAGAGTTGCAGACAGTTGTGAGCTGCCACAGGGTGCTGGGAACTGAGCCCACATCTTCTGGAAGAGCGGTTAGACTCTTAAATTGCTGGGCCCTGTCTTCTGCTCCAGCCCAGTATTTTTTAATGTAGCCTCACTCAGATTTTAGGACACAGGTAGAATGTAGCCACATGGCTTGTCAGAAAGTAACACAAGTGGCTTGCAGTTCCATTTCTGATAGAGTCCTTGTTCATCTCTGAAACCTCTTGAGCATCCAGTTCCTGTCAGCATTTCTCTCGGAATCAACACTACATTCTCCCTGCAGGGTTCTGGATTTTCCTAGCCGGTGACTAAACTCTTTCACCTCTATTCCTCCCATACACTAACGACAAAGGTCTGCCAGCCCCACGGTCAGGCTTAGCACAGTAAAGCCCCACTCCTTATACTACCTTCCTCTCTTTTGTTGTTGTTGGATATCTGAAGATTTATTTTGGTTGATGGCGTTTCAGGGAATATAGTCCATTTGGGAAATCATGGAGGTGGGAGCCCCTGTGTCTTCCAAAGAGAATGCCGCTGGCTGACACCAAGTGCTCAGGCACCTGAACCCATGAGGGATACTTCATATTCAAACCTTAACGTGGATCACAATGATGACTTGTTCTTAAGCTTTGGTGAACCTTCAAAAAAAAAATGGATAAATAGATCATCACAGGATGTGGTTGTAGGAAAACTGGTCTCAATTTATGTAGGGGACAGAACAGGTATCGTTGAAGTTATTTTAGAATTTTCTCCTTTTGAGGACTCCTTGGAAAAAGTCTGTTTGCTGAGACCGTTGTAAACTTTAATTACGTGAGATAAATGAAATAAACTTTACTAAGTGATTTAAGGCCTATTAACTATGACTTTTAACTATTTATTTTGTATATTGTTATTAATAGAACTGTTGAAAATGCCTGCAAGAGGGCCATGGAGTCTGTTTGATTTAAACTGTTTTAATGCTGTGGCTGGATAGGTCGCTCAGCAGAGCACTTCCTGCTTTTGCAGGGGACCCAGATTCGGTTTCCAGCATGTGCACCGTAGCTCCAGCTCCAGCGATCCAGTGCCTCTGGCTGCTACAGGCTGTGAACTTATGCATGTGCGTACACAGACACACACACACACACACACACACACGAAATATTTAATTTGTTTTCAATACTTCTGCATTGCTAACCGTTCAAGGTCTTTGCACGAGCCTGAGGCTGTCTGTCCTCCTCCTCTTTGACAGGCAGTGTACCACAACTTGAAGCCAGCAGCACTTCAGCAGCAACTGGAGAATATTCATCTTACACAAGACAAAGCAGAAGCCTTTGCCAACACTTGGTCGACTATGGGTCCAGAAACGGTTGAGAAGTTCAGGCAGAGGATTCTGGGTCCTCACAAGGTACAGGGCATTCTGTCAAAAAAAAAAAATTATAACAGCTAGTCTTAAAAATGATAATATTTTGGTAAGAGGTAAAGCAAGGCAGAAAGTCAAGTCAAATATTCCTGTTTTTTTCTACATATTAGCATATTTGTTGCCATATGATTTAATTTTGGCAGTATAGAATATGCCTCCGTAATTTAAGAATAGGAATGAGATCGTCTCCTTATACCCTCTGACATTGATTCCCTGCCTTCCCATGTGAGGCTTGTTTTTAACATTTACTGCTTGTCTTTTGTGCGTCTGCATTAGTGCTGAAGAGAACCCGTTGCATGCTGTAGGTGCTGACTTATCATCTGTCAGCTCCTATAATCCAAGCACTGGGAGAGCTGTAAAGTTAGCGGTGTCACAGGCGCCCCTCAAACCTAACTTCACAGAGTTGAGCATGATTGGGCAGATTTTGCCTTTTCCTATTCATACTTTTGTATTGCATTAATCTTCTGATGTGGAAACAGTTTTGTGCTCCTGGGCTAAATCTCATGTGTCATCCTTTGAATATGCGGCTGGTTTGATTTGCTGATATTTTGCTAAAGATTTTTTTCCACCTATTTATGGTACATCTGAGGTGAGCTGGGAGCTGTTCCTGCACTGCCGTTCGGGAGCGTCTGTGAAGGAATAGCGTTGTTCTGCATTACTAGGAACGCACTGGGATCAGCAGTTCCAGACTCTTCTCAGCACTCAGTATTGCCAGTTGCTTTTCTGTTTGTCTTTTTCTTAAAAGCATTGCATTAGGTTTGTGGTGCCGTCTCGTGTTGTTGAAACGCAGCTTTGGTAGCTTTTTATGCACTTGTCGTGCTTCTGTCTTCTGTAGTAAGGTGTCGGGATATTTTGCTTAACTGTCCTCCATACCCGAGAAGACAGAGATACAGATCTCACTGTATTCCAGGCACAAACCTTGTTATATGTAGGCATACATCCTGTAGAAATGCATTTTCTCAGTTTTAACATATGAGGTGCTTGCCTGCCTTCCCTTCACTTGGAACTTGAACTGCAGTTGAAGTTCCAGTTGTAGATCTCTGTGACATCTGTGACTGGGCAGTGTTCCTGCGAGTCTAACTTCTTCCTTTTTTTGTAGTGGTGTGTCCCACACAGTCAATGCTTTAATTATGTTGAGTCTCCATGTACCATTTGGGATGTTCTTGACTCCATGATCAGTTTTGTGCCTGAGAACTTATAAACGGATCCAGTTTTATAGCTGTTTCCTCTTTTGTTCCTTGTTCAGTGTTTCATCCAGTGTTGATGCTTTGCATGTAAGTCTGAGATCCATTTTGAGCTACTTTTAGTTAAGGTTCAAGGCATAGATCAAAGTTCATGTCTGCAACATGCCAGCATTATTACAATAGTGTTATGGACATTTTGTCTTCAAATTGCTTCTGCCCTCTGTCAAATTAGTTCATGTATTTGTCTAAGTCTTTTTCTAAATTCTCTGATTCCTCTGTTCTATTTGTCTGTCCTTGTCAATATATCCCTCTGCCTTAATTACTGGAGTTTTATTGTCAGAGGGCCAAGTGTGGTGGCATACACCTTTAATCACAACACTCAGGAGGCAGAGGCAGGGGGATCTCTGTGAAATTGAGGCCAGCCTGAGCTACACAGTGAGTTCCAGGACAGGCAGGGCTACATAGAAAGAGATCTTGTCTCAATGCTCCCCTCCCTCCCAAAAAAAACCCTAATGGAGGCTCTAAGTGGGGCTGGAGAGATTGCTCACAGTTAAGAACGCTTGCTGTCCTTTCAAAGGACCCATGTCGGGTGGCTCAAAGAAACCTGTAACTTTAGCTCCCTGGGATCAGATCCCTATGCAGTCCTACGCAGGCCCCTTCATACATGTGGCACTTGTGTGTGCACACACACAATTAAAAAATAGTCTGAGACCAATGGCTTTGTTCTCATTTTCATATTTTTTTGGGTATTCTGGTTTCTTGCTCTTACATGTAAATTTGAAAAATCAGCTTTCAGTCTCTACAAATAGCCCTGCTACATATTGACTGGGATTGTGTTTGATGTAATGGTGAATTTGTAGAGGAGTAATTTTTTTTATTTCTTTTGTCAGTGTTCTTTATTTTTAACACAGATCCTATGCATATTTTGTTATTTTTTAGTGTAGTATTTTCTTTTGTTTTTAAAGCTGTTATAAATGATGCTATTTTTGAAATGTTGGTTTCCACTGTTTATTGTTCGATCCTGGAAATAGAAATCAATTAACTCTTTAAAAAATATTGTTTTTGTGACAGTGGAGATTGAACCCAAGGATTGCTGACAAGCTCTGTTTGCCTTTACTTTCCAATCTATATTGACCTGTCCTGTGACTTTGGTAATTCACTAATTAGGGATAGAAACTTTAAAAAATAAATGCCTTTAAATTATTTTCAAATGCATTTTTATAATGAATTTACAATATTGGTGAATCGAGACTTCCTCTCCCCCCAAATCTACACTGCTCCCTGTTGTAGAAGGCTGCTTCTTTGTTCCCAACTGCTCAGCCCTGAAATAATCACACAGGAACCATATTATTTGCCATACGTTTGGCCAATAGCTTAACATATTTTTGGCTAACTCATATCCTAAACTAACCTATCTCCATTACCAGTGTATTGCCATGAGGCTATGGCTTACAGGGTAAAGCTTCGGTGTATGTCTCTGGCGGGGCTACATGGCTTCGCCTGACTCTGCCCTCTTTCTCCCAACATTCAGTTTAGTTTTCCCTGCCTAGCTCTGTTCTGCCCTGCTCTGCTATAGTCTCAAAGCAGTTTCTTTATTAACCAACGGAAATCACAGCATACAGAGAGGAATCCCACATCAGCTCCCCCCTCTCATCTATGTGTGTGTGTGTGTGCCTATGTGTGTGTGTGTGTGTGTGTGTGTGTGTGTGTGATATGTGTGTGTGCCTGTGTGTGTGTGAGTGCCAGAGGCCATGTTGGATATTTTCCTCAATTCCTCCTTCCCACACTTTGTTTTTTGAGACAGAGTTTCTCTGCAGGACCTTGCTGATTCTGGGTTCTGCAGACTGGGATGGGCTGGCCGGTGAACTTGTATCAGCTTTTCCTGTCATCCCAGAGTCCAGGTCACGTGGGCGCTGGGGATTTGAACCCAAGTCTTCACGTTCACAGAGCAGTCGCTTTACGGACCAAGCCCAAGCCATCTCCCCAGCCCTCCTTTTCCTTAGTTTCTTGTCTTACTTGGTTGACAGTTTTGGGGATCAAATGCTGTCTTCCCCTAAATGTTACCTCTCGATCTCTAGGAAACATTCCATGTTGTTTCCATCTGAGTTTTCCCTTCTTGTCTCATTTTCCTTTGAGACAAGAGTTTCTGCCCTGCTTTTTACTATTTCAATTTCTTTACTTTCCTGCTACCTGCACAGATTTCAGTTTTTCATTTTGTTGCCTTGAAGTTCTTTCTTCTTTAAAACATCTCCATTTGGAACATCTTCTTCATATTCTTCTGGTCTCGCTTGTGTTCTGTGTTGCGGGGCAGCTTCCCCAGCGCCTAGCATGGGTCTGCACTGCTCGCCTGTTTGTAGGCTCTAGCCAAGAGGTGGTTCTCAGTGTCTCCTGGACAGCTGCCTCTGGAGACAATGTTTCTCTTCCCAGGGAATGGTAAGTTCAGATGCTGCTTGAGAGTCAGAAGCTGCCATCTGAAATATTCAGAGTGGAAAAAAGAAACGTGAGGGCTGGATAATGTGGCGGATGTCTGTTATCTCAGCAGCTTGGGAGTCTAAGGGAGAAGAGTCCCAAGTTTGGTGACCACCAGGACAGTGTAGTAAGGTAGCAAAACAGTCTCTAAAAGAGTAAAGTTGGAAGACTGGAAGAAGATGCAAAGAATTGATGATGTTTTGCCCGTGCGTATGTATGTATACCATGTGTGTACCTGATGCCAGCAGAAGCCAGAAGAGGCGTTGAATCCCCTGGAACATGAATTGCAGTTAAGTTTGAGCCTTCATATAAGTCCACGGCACCGGACCACTAAGCTTCCTCTTCAGTTTCCAAGCTACCTTTTTTTTTTAATGACAGAATGATAATCCATTGTGAATCCACACCTTGTTATTCATTCATCCGTTGACAGATACTTAGGTTGTTATTGTGTCTTGGCTGTTGTGGACAGTGCTACAATGGACGTGAGCTTGTGGGTGTCTTTCCAAGATGCCAGTTTCATTTCTTTTGGATATTTACTTGGCCAGGGCTTCCTGAGTCATGGTAGTTCTAGTTTCAATCTTTTTGCCTTAATTAAGTTTGTCTTTGACAATTTCATATACAGTTTCATATACGTATATAAAGCATACTGACCCCATCCTCTCCTGTGTCCCCACTGCCCTCAGACGCTCCTGCCTCCTACAGAGCTTGTTCTTATGTCCGTACCTAATCAGTTTGTTATGTGAGCCCTTGAGTTTCAGTAGGGCTGTCTGTGTGACCGTGACCTTGTCTGTCCACTGTAGGTTGGTAGGTTCAGTAGTGGCTACACAGTTGATAACAGTACCAATTTGCATTTCTACTGACAGCCTGCAGGGGCCCCTTTCTGTCTATATGCTTCTCAGATTTCTTTTTTTTAATTTAAAAAATTTATTTTATGTTTATGGGTGCTTTCTCTGCTTGTATGTTTGTGCACTACTTGCTTGTCTGGTACTCTTGTGAGTCCAGAAGAGGGTGTCAGATCCCCTGGGAGTGGAGTTATGGATGGTTGTGGGTGCTGGGAATTCAACTGGGGTCCTCTGGAAGAGCAGCTCTTGCTCCTAACCACTGAACTGCCTCTCCAGCCCCTCTTGTTGTCGTCTTGATAAGAGCCTTACTAACATGCAGAGATGACATTCTACTCTGGCTTTGATTGCTGTGTTCCTGATGTGTGACAGTGAGCACCTTTGCCATGCCTGAAAAAATACCTACTCTGGTACTTTATTATTTTTAAATTTGTGTGTGTGTGTGTGTGTGTGTTTGTGTGTGCGTATCTGTGTATCTGTGTGTATGTGTGTC